TTAGCATCCTGATACTGAAGATATTATTGTAAAACACAAATAGCAGTACTGGGTGTTCATCATTTACCCAAAAATTTCAGAAATTTCGGTTGGAGAAGATCCAATCGGAAACCGTGGAATACCTCCAGAGGTACTTCTCTGTTATTGTTCGGAACTGAACGTTGGAAACTTTCCTTTCCAGTTGCTATTTTCACCAGTTTTCAGGCTCTATTACAACGGTTAGCGTCACTCTCTTTTGGCTGGTTTGCCGACTCTGGTTGAACAGTTACCGTTATTCAACAGTGATCGCAGCCTGTTCTTTCGGGCAAATGGCAAGCACCCAATGCCTCCGCTAACAACAGTAGAGAATTCAATGAGCACCAGGGACCCAAAACTTCACATCAAATTAAACGTTGAACAGCCTGTATGTTTTTATGCCTTTGTGTTTTACTCTTCGCACAAGAAAAATACCATAGAGACCCTTTTACATGAACCTGACGGATATAAATGAGGGAAGGGAAACTTGGAACTCTGTGTTACATGCAAAACTAAAGATATCAGCATGTGTATTTAGAGCAATACCATATATTTGCCAGTAATTTTATTACTTGCAAAACATTTCAAAGAGGGTGGTAAAGGGGGGGTATAGATCCCTTTTCACGGAAAATAAAGCAGCCCTTTCACAATTCACGAAAAATACAACATTGGCATTTCACGCTTCACGGAAAATAAAAGAGAACTTTTTGGAAAATCACGGTTCACGGCGACTATGGAAATCACGATTCACGAGGAAAAAATTAGCCATTTCACATTTCACGGGAAAAAAACAGGGCCGATCACGAGTCACGAAAATACCCTTTACCACCCTCTTCAAACTATTACAGTACGACTACTCTAACCATGGTCTCCTGACAAAATTTTCTACAAATTTAACGAATAAAATCGTGGAGGTTAACAACAGTTTTCCAACAAATTGTCGATGTAATCAAGCTGTACATTACAAAGGCAACAGATTTGCCGTCATTTTGATGAGTAACTAATTTGATACTTTTAAAACGCCAGTGGTCAATTTGTAAAAATTTGGTCTTGGTCGGAGTAGTCGCCCTGTAACAGTGTTAAATTGTACAATAATATATAAGTAAAGACAATCGATTTTAATTATAACGCAATGTTACTTGTAATCCAACAAGCCATTTTAATTTGTAAATATTGCTTGTCAATTGGACGAAAAGTCATTTTGTGGGGGCCGGGCTTCCCTGAGTGTCAACTTCAGAGATGATCGCCATTCAAAAGAACATTTATTTTGCCATCTAGTTCGTGCGACCTTTGAATCGAAAGGATATGAGCCAATAGCCTATATTTTAGGAACCATCTGGGTCACACACTTGCATTTATGCCGGGAATGTGTTATGTAACACTTGTGAGTATTTTACCAAAGATGAACAAGATGCATTTCAGTCGGAATGGACATGGGAGGCAAATGGGAAAACGACAACAATCATAATAACAACAATATCTAACAGTACAACAATATAATAATAATAATAATAATAATAATAATAA